AAAAAATGAAGGACTTGGAAAACTCATTTTCTTGACAGCAGGAAAAAATTAACCCCGCGATGACCTCCGGATGTTGTGACACTACTAGATCGCGATCGTCGCCATTGCATAACATTTTCTTGCGGATCTTCTTCTTGCCCGATTATTCTTTGATTTCGCGGAATACTTGTGCATTAAAAGTAACTGATTCATTTTCATTTACACAGTTTTTTTTTTAATGTCGATATACTTCTTTATCAGCGATTTTGAATCCAATTTTGTCAGTGCGTATCGAAAAATAGTTTTGATTTTAACCTTATCCCTCCAGTGGGTCAAGAGGGAAAGAGAAAAGAGTCTCCAGGCTGAGGAGGAGGTCGAGCACCAGCCGTGACGTCCTGAGCCACGTCACTCGACACGTCACGCCAGTGCGCCGTGACGTCAGACGTACCGTCGCGGTTGGAAAGGGGGGGGGGGATCACTGAGTTGCGCTACCATGAGTCATAACATATTCGTAGCTGTTTGAACGTTCTCGGGTTTGGCGAGGTTGCACAATAATCACATATACACCCAGAAAATCGTGTCTTGAAACAAGGTAGGGGCCGTAAAAATCAAGGCATAATGTCGTTAGAAAAACTTGATATTTTTATATTTCCTCGTTTCAATGGATTTTCCTTTCTTTATTCAATGCATATAAATGCCTCTTATCCTTTGGTCTTTTTTCAATTGAAGAAAGACTCCTCTGAAATAACTCAAAACTGTCCTAGGGTTTTTTCTTAATGAAACAAATGTTTTTGTTTGAGTGTATGTACTCGCGCCGAACGAGTACATACTTCAATAATTGGGAGAGTGCATGGGGCAAGGCGTTTTGTTGGGTCGGTCGAATCGATAACCCTCCAAGGCTCTCGACCAGACGACTGCGACACTTGTCGCTGGCGCCGGGGTGTCTGCCCTCCCTGCCCCCGGCTCGGACTGCTGCACCTGTGGCCGGCTAGTGGCCGGACGGCCGGCGGCTCGGCTTCGGCTGGCGACGCTGGGCTCCGCGCAGGGAAGTCCCGGCCCGGGCCGGTCCCCGGGGAGCGGCGGGCGGGGCGACGACGCTCACGTGGCCTCGACATCTCCGCCGTCAGTCTCGACGTGGTGTGGCCCTCCCGCCCGCTCCCGCCCCCCGCGAGACAGCTCCAATCAGGGCTGCCAACGAGATGATTGCCGGTCGCGAAAACTAGAGCGGTCACCATGCACAAGCGTAACTTGTTGTGAGAGGAGAGGGCCACAGTCCGCCGGGCTGGAGGCGACGCGGCGTGTGGGCTCATAATCCCCACCCCAGCACTTCTTTCTTTCAGTCTGTTTCGCGCGTTCTCGTTGTTCTCTTGGCGGGAGCAGGATCAGGAACAGGTAAGGTGCGCGGTGGAGTGACCGACGCGTCCGCGTTCGCCGAACCCGACAAGGAAGGAAGGGGGAAGAGAGGTAGAAAAGGGGG